TCTTATTTCAAATATAATATGCTTTCTTTCTTTATAGTGGTATATATATTATATTAATAAATAATGAAATAATAATTTAAGAAAGCACTTTGGTTGCTTTCAACTAATTTCAATTCTTTACATTTTTAAAAATACATTTGATTGTTTTAACATTGATATTGTAAATAAAAGTCTATTTCAATACATTAATTTATACAAATGTGTAATTTAATATAATTACTGATCTTTTTGAGGTAAATGCGATGATTTGGCCACTGAGGAGTACAACATTCACCGAGCTCGAATTGATTCAATAAATAAATGATACGAGCTCATGAAGCAGTTCATGCAATCTTACTTGTTTATATTTGCTGAAGACCTTGCTAAATTCAAGGAGAGAACCTGGGTTAAATAAACAGTATTAGATGTTTTAATTTGGAATTTTTTATATCTACTTTAGCTGCTATAAAAAAAATTAAATAATTTTATGAGTTTTCATCAAATAGATTTTGAAAAGGGGATAGGGTGTTTTATCAGGGAAAAATGATAGCTGAAACAAAAAATCTTTGATTAGTCCCAACGAAAAGAGAATTCTTTTTACTTCAAATTTTGTTTTAGGGTTGGGGTGGGGGTTAAAAGTTAAGGGTGCGGGATTAAGGTCCATTATTGGGTGACCAGTCTTTCAATGAATATTTTTAGTCTAAATTAAAAGTAAACATTAGGGGTTTAAACCCACGACCTTCTAATCACTGAGCAAGAGTTCTATCGGCTGTGATACCATAACGGTTAACCATGTTCATAAGTGTTGACTGTATAAATGAAGAGCACAGTTAGAATTACTTAGGGTCATTAACTCATTCCATTGTATTATAACCGAAGAAGATATTTATAGAATGCTTTCTTGAGCACTGCAGTTTTTAACGATTTACATTGCTGTGTTTTCCATTTATATTCATTGTTACTTTTACTTCAATAGAATGTGGTAATAGAACATACGGAGATACATGTATGGAGAGATGTGGCGTCTGTCTGGGATATAAACAGTGTCATCACATCAATGGGTCATGCCCTGAAGGGTGTGACGCTGGACATAAAGGAGAACTTTGCAAAACTGGTATCACATTAAATAATTTTTCATGTTAATTCAATTTTGTCAACATATGATTTAATCAGAAATGAATGCGGTCTAATACAAATTAGATTTAAAAAGAAATATTTTTAAATTTATACAGATTGCTCTAGCGGAAAATTTGGTATCAACTGTCAAGAAGACTGTAATGAAAAATGTGCTATACCCTATAAATGCAATGGAATGTCTGGAGAATGTGTGGGCGGATGTCAACCTGGCTGGGACGGACTTCAGTGCAAAGATGGTATGTAGTTGCAGATATAAAAAAGAATGCTTACTTTTCACCCCCCCCCCATTCCAAGCCTACCTCCCCCCCCCCCCCCAAAAAAAAAGAAATAGAAATATTTTCGCAAATTTTCTAAAATGTTGTCAAAAGAAATTCTCAAGATGAACTCCAGCATTTATGTATTGAACCCTGACCTTTTAAAGCAAATTTAAGTAATCAATGCATAATATTTTTCTTTAAAAATCTATATATCCTACCTAATTGCATTTTATAAGTTTGCAGAGAAAATATGTACGGTATAAACTGTGCTATATGCGGATTCTGTCGCTACTCCACCTGTCACCACGTAAATGGATCCTGTGTAGGAGGATGTGCAAAGGGATATCAGGGGAATCTCTGCAACAAGGGTAATATCCCATCCCCTGTCTGAAGAGAGAGAGAGAGAGAGAGAGAGAGAGAGAGAGATGTCCACACCTACGTTAATTATGTTAATTGAGAGAGAGATGTCCACACCTATGTTAATTAACAATCCAAATTCTATTTCTTAGCTTTAAAGAAAAGAAAAAAAGTAATATTAGCATCTGGCTATATATGCTGATTAGCATTCCTTGTGTTTTATTTATTCATTTATTTATTTAGTCATCTATTCATTTATTTATTAAGCATGTAAAGCAGGATTTTATGGAGATGACTGCAGAAAGGAATGCAGCATTTTCTGCAAAACATCAGGTGACTGTAACCATGTGACTGGACATTGTAACGAGGGTTGTATTGGTGGATGGCAGGGTGTGAAATGTTTAGAAGGTCAACATCTTTTTTTAGCTTACATATACATACGCAGTATAGTATTGGTTATTTAAAAAATCCTTGAAACCGAATTTTAAACTGGTGTATGTTTTCTTTTATGTGTAGTTTCAGGGAAATCAGATAAATGGCAATGTTCGTCACGATTCTACGGTGTTCTTGCAGCTCTATGCCTCAGTATAACAATAATCATTGTCTTGCTAGTCTCCACATATATTAATAGGTAAGTTTGTTTTCGTTTTTATATAAGGTATATAAATGTATTTTAAAGCTCTAAGGATTGTATATCTTAATATTTCTATTCTTTTTTTAGTGAAATTAATTACCATTCACTATATTCATTGAAGTGAAATCAGTAACGCATTAATTTTGGTATATTACTTTTCAAAACCTTATTGTTCATACCAATGATATATAAAGATTTGTAACGAATCAAAAATAATAACTTTTTTTTTCAAAATGTATGTTACACTTAATAAGTCACTGTAAACATAGACTTTAAAGCAAAAGAAGCATATATTCATATTTTATGTATAACTTTAGAAGGAAGACCCAAGGGATACATGAAAATCAGAATTTGACAGACGACATAAGGATTACGAAAGGAAAATTGGATCTCCAAATGATTTCTGGTAAAACAGACGAAAATGAAAGCAGCAAATATCAAGAGCTTGGGGTATTGTCGCTGTCGTCAGATTATGACCATCTTCCATAATCTTCTTCTTAAATGTTGCACCTATATATACTAAAAAAGCTATATATACTGTAAAATAACACGAAATGCTTTTAATGGATTCCAAAGGATAACAAATGGAAAGACAATGGTTTAGATATATTCATACATGTAACATACAAGATTAAGGTTTTTGTACCCATTTCTTTACTAAGACTGCTTTATGAAAATAAATGTCTGTTTGTTTGTGAATGTTCTATTAATTTATTCTTTTATATCACTGAAAGTAGATATTTAATGCAAGCATATGTCATATAATCAACTTTTATTATGTCATCATTCTATAAAGAATTAAAAGTAAACAATCGACGTTATTTCGCAGTGACGTAATGAGAAGTCGATGTATTCAGCACATTCAATATTTAGCGGTGAGCTTGAAAAAAAAATTCATGGGTTTAAAAACCCAATGCGCAAATATTTGTTAAAAACCGTCACAAATGTAAATATCAGCAATGGTTTATCATTGATATACATTTATAGGATTACGTGGGATTTGTCATCACTAAATCTACCATAAAGACCATAAAAAATATATTTGATCAATTGACAATGAAACCCGTATATACATCATAAAAGATTTAAAAGTGTACCTTATTTCAGAAATAAAGGATGTAAAAAGTAAATATGGGTAGAAAAAGGCCCTTTCTATTTGAATATTTTAGACCAAAAGAGAGCTGATTTAGTACCATAAAAAGCATTTATAGTTACACAGACTTGGTGAAAACCTCCAGATATATGCAATTTTATTGATAACTTCCAATATGATAACTTTCATAAATTGATTTTGGGCTAATATTTGGACACAACATCCTTGATGATACTACCGTCATATCTTCACGGCTAAAATCTTACAATATTCCAAATATCTCGTGCCTATACACCTCTATGTCATCATAATATCCATCATAGGTGATACTGGTGCTGCCTTTGAATCAATATATAAAAAAAATTATTGCTGACAGATCCATATATCAAATAGATCGATTTTTTATTGTAGAATCTTAGCTAAGAGTACGCATTTGCATCGAACCTCTTCACAGTGAATGACAGTTCTTTCGGTCAGAAAAACATTAATTTCCTCACCTTTCTTGCAATCCTTCTACGGTGAGTCCCTACCATTTGAAATTCAGACCGTCTTTGCAAACTGTTTAATCTGAAAAAAAAATATATATATAAATCTCCAGTTTTTTTGTTTTTGTTTTCTTTTGTTTTCATGCCAGTATTTATTAAATTCTTTAACATTTATGCGGGTCTGTTGAAGGAAAATTATAACTTGATGAAAGCTGTTCAAAACGTTTGATGAAAATGTCAACCTTTCCTGTATTAATTACCTGTACGAAAAAGTCCAGCCTGACTTAGGCGGAATTTATTAGACAGACTCCATGTTTCAATACCAGTTTAACAATTGATAAATTAGACGGATTCAGGGTGGAGTCAGGGCGGTATATGACTCGAAATATTTAAATGAGTTAAGACGTATTCCGTGTAAACAAAATCCACCTATTGACGCCTAATAACCTTGATGGATTCCTCCTTGATTATTTAGGCGGATTCCGCCTTAAGGTTAGTCAGATTCCACCTTAAGGGTATACATGGATTCCGCCTTAAGGTTAGGCGGATTCCACCTTAAGGGTATACATGGATTCCGCCTTAAGTTTAACCAGAATCTGTCTTATTGTGGTAGGCGGAATCCGCCTTAGGATTCCATGGCCACTGCTAATTAGAGTTTAATGAGCCCAAATCCCCTTTTGGTACAGATTAAAGCAAACACCTTTTTTAGACTTGGATGCCATTTTGAGTGACTTTTGAGTGACTTTAAAGGGAAATATACTTGATTGAAATCGGCCAGTTCCTCCTGCCTTATAGGTAGTCATAATTGTACTGATTCAGTGCATAGCCCTTTGTCTCCATCCCTGTAGATCCTCTGGAGTGCCTTAATAACAAGTACATGTACATTGTTTTACCTTACAGACAGTCTAAATCATATTTTAACAAAGAATTTGAGATTAAAACTGAATCTGTTTATTATATAAAGACATATTTCTGTTTAAATTTGCCATATGCTACTTGTATATCATTTCTGATGAGATCGCAAATTAAACAAATTATCAGAGTCCATAAAAGTCAGTTAATTATAGTCTATTTCTTTTGAATTTTTTTCATTAGTTTTCTTGAATAACTGATCCTTTCTGTAACTGCATCGTTAAAGAACTTGTCTTCCATCTTGCCTTTTCCATTCTTCTGACACCAGGTGTTCACATATTCTGTAAACAATTTAATGTGTAAATATGGCTACTATCAGGCACTTGAGAGCTCATGCATGGATCACTGTATTATAAATTATATAGAATGTATTAGTACCTGGGTTTGTTTAATCTTTCTGGACAGTTGTTTCAAGAGATTTACAAATATGCTATATAAGTTTTGACTTTTACCTTTCAAAACATCCAATTTATCATGATCCAGCACAGGTCTGATGTCACCCTTTTTTGCATCCCGAATTCCTTGACCCCTGGACTGGGCAAGCTCTTCAGTACTGAAAATGAGCACAGCAAGCTTGCTAGTCAAGGTGTAGGCTGCTTTTCCACCCTCATAATGGCTTGCAGCAGTAGTGGCTTTCCTAAGCTTGGCCTTAGGAACCCTCATCTCTGATGACTCCAAGAGTTTGACATACTGAAAAAAAAGATAATTTACATAATGAATCATTTCGCTAGTCAGAATTTGATATTTTGATTATACAATCATGTATGTTAAAAAAGTACTCCCCTTGCAAAATATGTGAAAAAATTTCATTATGTTTCAACCATAAATTATGCTTAGAAGTCATGAAATCGTCATACTGATTCTTGTTTTATGAGATTAATTTTCTTTGTTCGAGGTGATATAAACTAAAAAATAAGTAATTGTTTTACTTCTTAGGAAATGAAATTTATTAAATTATATCAAATATTATGTAATGAAGTTTATTAATAAAATTCAATTCAACATGTTTGCTGAAATTTTTTTTTCTGCTCTTTGACCTTATCATGATATTCATTAAGAAAATAAAAGCATCAATATTCCATCAACCTTACAGAATACTGTAGATCACTAAATTTTTGTGACACCTTATTTTTGTGAGATTTGTGTTTGGTATTTATATACAAACAAAGTTTTCACTAATTCTGGTAATTGCTCTATATAATCTTTAATAGTAGAATTGTATGCCAAAATGAAAACTAGATGATCTCACAATTATGTGAAAATAAAGAATTCAGAAATAAATAAATGTAAATTACTATCATCAATTTTATGCATAACTTACTTCTTGGTCATTCTGTGTCGTTTTGTGTTTTCTTGGGGATCTCCTAGGCGAGAAATCCGGAACTGGGGTGATTTGTTGCATTTGCATAGAGGTGTTGAGCTGTTGAGGCATTGCTTGGTGCATGTGCGTAGAGGTGTTGAGCTGTTGAGGCATTGCTTGGTGCATGTGCGTAGAGGTGTTGAGCTGTTGAGGCATTGCTTGGTGCATTTGCATAGAAGTGTTCAGCTGCTGAGGCATTGCTTGGTGCATGTGCGTAGAGGTGTTGAGCTGTTGAGGCATTGCTTGGTGCATGTGCGTAGAGGTGTTGAGCTGTTGAGGCATTACTTGGTGCATTTGCATAGAAGTGTTCAGCTGCTGAGGCATTGCTTGGTGCATTTGGGTACAAGTGTCCATCTGTTGAGGCATTGCTTGGTGAATTTCGGTAGAAGTGTCCAGCTGTTGAGGTATGGTTTGGTGCATTTGAGTAGGGGTTCTCATCTCTTGATGGTTGGCTTGGTGCATTTGCATAGAAGTGTCCATCTCTTGAGGTTTGGCTTGGTGTATCTGCGTAGAAGTGTCCAGCGTTTGAGGCATGGCTTGGTGGGTTTTGGTAGGAGTTTCCAGTTGTTGAGGCATGGCTTGGTGCATAGTAGTGTTCAGTTGTTCTGTGTGTTGTGGAGCCATGACTGGTAACGACTGATGCAGAGATGAGGTGTGTAGATTTTGTGTAGGAGGGATGTAAGAATCCAATTCCTCTGTTAGGTAAGTATTTGAAGTATCTCCTGGCCATTCTGGATATTGAAGTATCAGTGGTCTGTCTTGTTGTTTGTCTTGATTTTCAAATTCCTGAGTGAGTAAATTTATACAGACTTTTTTTCAAGATTTGTAAACAACATATTGTCTTGTAATCAAAAATTTGCATGTGAAAGAATATCCATGATTATTTTAAATGAATTATAAATAAATTTTCCTGTAGAAAATTGTTACTACTCTGTTCCTATCCAACACAATTATTTTTGTTGTTGTTGCCATAATAAACAAGTACTTACATTTCTTTGTATTTCATTTCTTAAAAAGGTTCTTGCAGGTTGTTGTTTGAAATAATGATTGAACTTTCTGAGGTAATCCTGAACCTCCCTTTTGCAAAGAAGGTTCATCATATCCAAAACTGCTGGTGGTGGTTCTTTAATTAAGAAAAAAAAATGAAATTTTTCATTTAATTTTATGAAAATTTAATTTAACTATGACTTAAATAATTCTATATTGAACTATAAATCAACAAAAGTGTTGACAGACTCACAGATATACAATGTAATCCCTACTTTGATCTCCTTTTTTTATTGGATGCAAATACATGTAAATAAAATCTCACAACTATACATAAAAGAGTGTGTTATTCTCAAAGCTATTGGTGTAAATACTGCTTACCTGGAACATGGCTTAAAGTGGTCTTTGCTGGTGAGTAATCAAATCCACTATCAGAGGTACATATTGACCAAGTTGCAGTAAGTGATGTTCCTGTCTGTGGGGATTTAACAGGGGTAGAAGTCTTCTCTTCCTCTCGAGTTATAATCTCCTCTTCATTAAATTGAGCACCCAAGTCTGTCAATTCCATCAACTGATTATTAATTATTTGGTTTGTTGCTTTTGTTGCTTTCTTTTGGACATCTTTTTTACGACTTGTTTTTTCTTTCTTACTATGTTTTTGTTCTTTCTTTTCTGGGATGTTTCCTTTTTTGTCATTTTTGTCTTTTTCTGCTGTTTTCACTTTTTTGATTTTCTTTTCGTTTTTTTTTTCTTTTTGCTTGCAAGGTCATTTTCTTGCTTTAGGCTTTCTTTGATTTTTTCTGTTGGCACCACAGCACGTTTCTGTTTTAAAGTTTCCTTGTGGTTAAAAGTGTACAAATCAGCCGGTACATCTCTGAACTTTTCACCTTTCTTTATGAATTTCTGAGTTGCCTTTCTTGCAAACTCTATCAAATCATCCTCATCACCTGTGAAAATTAACAAAAATGTGTATTTATCTTTTTAGAAAGGATTATTTAATGGTAATTGACGGAGTCTGCTAGGACCGGCATTTGCACAAAGACCAAAGCATACTCCCAATATTATGCAGTCAATATTCTTTTTATTTCATATTTTAATAGTACTATTGTCAATACATTTTTTCAGATGAACAGGAATGGAATTTCTCTTTAAGTTTGGCATGATCATATATATAATTACAACATTATTAATTGTAAGTTCAGTAGACATTTGTGACATCTGTATTCAAATGTACATGTATGTGATATTATTAGGAATGAATAAGAATGGAGAGAAAGGAAAACATATTTTATGATCTCAGACACAAAAGTAGTCGCTGGGCATTTACAGTGCAGGTCAATATGTCAGGGCACACTCCAAACTTTTATTGAAAAGTGAAACAAAATATGTAATAAAACATATAAATAAAATTGGGTTACATTTAATTCTTAAACCCCCCCCTACCCCCCGAACAAAAAGTTTGGGAAAAAAGTAAAGGAAACTAACTTATTTACAATGAACACTGAAAAGGATAAAAATGTTTTTATACTTTAAGGAAATCATTCTCTAAGTTGTGTCAGTCGAATGGTTTCAAAATACTGTATTTGTACATCTTTTGTTATGCAAGATTGTTTAATGTATTGCTTTAGTTAATTAATTTGCTACGAACTTATGAAAATTCAATGTCTGTGTCGTATTTATGGATTCAAAGCCACCCACGCCACAGGTACTTGGGTCTTGGTTTATAAATATGTATGTACCTTATTGATATGTAAAAAAAGTACTTTTTTACATATCAATAAGGTACATACATATTTATAAACCAAGACCCAAGTACCTGTGACCCACGTCTCCTCCCTTTCAAGTAATATTACTATATTAGACAATCATAAGTATTCTTATGTTTCCTAGTGTTGATTTCTTTTTCTTTTTAACTACTCCTGCCTTACCAAACAACAATGAAGTGTCACCACTGTCAGATATTAAGTAATCAAAACATGTTGATGTGAAAAAAAAAAACGGATATGAAAACCCCACAGTAAATTTCAAATAAAATTAAACAAAATTATTAACCAAAATTATTCCGGAATAAACAAAGACGAAAAACTTGATGTAAAGTGACATGCTAAAAAGTTGAACTTTCTTTCTGACAGACACATCCGATTCATTATTAATGATTATTCGTGTGACATAGGTTTTAATTTGTTACATTCCGCCGAATGTTTATGTTAGCACCCAAACGGAAACAACTTCAGAGCCAATCGCAACTTCTTGGGCCTTTACAACAATCGGAAAAAATCGGAATGGTTCGAGAAGATGCGATTGCTTCCGAGCTTGCCGGAAAGGCCCGAAGAGATGCGATTGGTTAGCATCAATTAACACCTTTGTACAAGCGCGCTTTTCATCAATACCAGCCCCAGGTCCCGGGATTATGATACATATTCTGTGATGCAATGTTATACAACGTATTTGTTTAAAAACTATTTGACTTCATCTATAAAGATCTTGTATACTAATTGAGCTCAATTTACAGATTTTAACTGTTAAATTTAAAAAAAAAAATGCTTCAATTGACGGAGTCAGAATATTATATAAATTCACTTACCGCCTATTCTGACAATGATTCCTGTGTACATGTCTTTCTTCGTCCACACAACACGCACACTCTGTTTTACACTGAAGCATGGGTTTGCCCCCAAAAGTTGCAGTTTTTCACTGTCCTCTTCAACGACGCACAGAGAATGATCCTCAAAGCAATATATACATCCAAACATCTTTGATTTTTTTTTGGTTACATGTATAAAAAGTTAAATTCAACATAATTTTTTTTAAACTGAGTCAATGACCGAAGCAGCCACACCAGCAAAGTCGCATTCAAAATAAGCATCCAATGCCTAGCCTCTATACCTCCCAAGGGGCTTGGGGGTGCATTCTGATAAGGGGTTAAATTGTTCAGAAGAACCGGGATCTAAACAATGACATTTTGTCGCTTTTTATTCAGCATAAGTATATATTATGATTTAATTGACTTCTTTTTTTCAAAATATATAAATCTAATATTGCCTGTAATTGTATTAATAAATTAAAAATTCTACAAACAACAAACTCGATGGCTATTAATTTCCCTTAAACACCCCCCAAAAATGCGGCTCTAGCCTGCGCATCAGGGTGTCCACTCTGCATGGCTTATACGACCATTACTACATTAGCAAGCCTGTGTGTATGATTGAAGATAAAATTTCTTACTGCAATTACGACATGGAAAAACCACCAGTGAAGAAAAAACGTGGACCTTACGGAAAAAGGAATTATGACTCTGATTTAAAGCCTTTTCCGTTAACATTAGAAATCGAAGCAA